GAGAGGTAAAAACCCACGTGGTAAAATGCAGATTAATAGAAACAGGTTAATTTAAGTTATAAGAGCTATTTGGGAACAAGCCAAAGAAAGTGGACAAGCTTTCACAATTAATAATAAGTCTCTCTGTCATTATTTGGGGCTGGCGGCTGAAAATAAAGTCCGACTCCAATGGTCAGTGTTTCCTTGCTGGCGATTAGTGTAAGGCTGCCCCCAGCTTCTAAATGACACTCCTATTCCCTGTCACGTAGTCCCTCAAACCCCAGACTTGCAATAACGGGTCACATATTCCTTGTCCTTCGTATCTCTAAGTTCATCTGTCAAGATGAGGCAGGAAATTCTATTTTTCTTCCTTGACTTTGGCCAACATCACATATTAGGCACTCAATAAACAGATTTTGAGGAAACTATGAATTAAATAGAGAATAAACACTTGGAAATATATAACATGCTATGCAATCAATCTTGTTTCTAAGAGGATTCTTTAATTCTGGATAAATTACATCGCTGAATCCTGGGAGAGTAATAGGTGATATTTCTGTAAAGCCAAGTCCATATACATTCAGTTTACTGAAACCCAATCTTTTTTGAATAAACAAACTTGTTTTTCTTGGTAATTCTTCCACATTAGGAGTAGAGAATTTGTCCAAATAATGCACCTTCTCATCACCAACAAAAGCCTGACTTTGTGGTAATTAACCCTTCATTGCAATAATGTAGGGAAATGAGCAGAGGTAATCTTTCCAACATTTCACTAAACACTACACATGAAGAAATGTAACTGGGTTTGAGCCATGCAAACAAACTTATTTTAAACATTTGGAATGTTTTTCAGCAAAATTATGCAAGCTTCTAAAAGCAAGAATATATTTTTTACACTGCACTGTTTCTAAGTAAATTTATATATGTAAAAATTCCACGTAGTAAATATTAGCTAAATTTTTTTGACCAAGTACAAAGCCACTCTAAAAATACCTGGTAATAATAATCCCATGTATTAAAATACGTCCATAATGAATTCATTCAGTTATGAGAAAAACCTATAAGCTATTTTTGGTGTGTGAGTATTTTCAAACGTAAACATAGTATGTGGGGTGGCTTGGGAATCTCAACCTCCACATCACAGGTGAATCTTCCTCCAGTCAAAAGAATATTGGCGATACTTACTGCAGGATCCTTTTCTGACCCTGTGTGGTACATTTAGAAAGTTGAAATTTTGTCAAAATTATCTTTGTCATAGCAATAAATTAATAATAACTATCAAAAGTTTGTTATTCATCAAATAAAACCTAGACAGAACTAGCAAGACAAGAAAATGAGGAAATGGGAGCATTACCTGCCTTTGGGGATTATACGTGTGATTTCCATATAGCCACAATGAAAACAGAAATCACGGTGACCTGGAAGAACTTGCACAACAGTTTTAGAAACTAGAGCACTGATCCACAGAGAGTGGAAAGGACTGAGGAAGCATCACATGGATAATCAAGATAACGTTGAAAGGAATCCAGATCTCAAACTGTCCAGGTCAGTTGCCTTTAGAAGACTCTCATTGTGATCCATGATAAACAAGGACTGTCCATCAATCTAAGGTATACCTTGTATCAAGTTTAAGACTAAAAGAAAAATGGTTCTGGCTACTATATCATAACAGAATGATAAAAGGCTTCCTGAATTCTGAGCACCCTAATTTCTTTGTTGGTTGGTTTTTTTTATTATTTATTTTGTTTTGTTTCTGAGACAGTGTTGCTCTCTGTGGCTCTAGCTGTCTGAGAGCTCACTCCGTTGATTAGGCTGGCCTTGAACTCAGAGAGATCTACCTGCCTCTGTCTCCAGAGTGCTGGGATTAAAAGCATGTACTCAGTTTCTCAAGCATGGGGCTGAGGATCTTAAAGCAATTTTATCTTTGTGTAGAGAATCGAATGGGAAGGATTTGGTCCCAATTTTTCTGTCTTATTCTATTTATTGTTTTTAAATGGTGATCTGGGTCTGCTTTTTTGATTTTAGCAAGCACTAATGTACTTACCAAATAGAAACACATCTCAATCATGTGTCACAGGTCAATAGAAAGTTTGTTGACACACACATTTGAAGTGCTGATGTTTGATTTGATAGCAGGTAGAGAAGAAAGGGAGTTTAGTGTGGACAGAAACCCCATGCTATCATCTCAGCTACTAGAAAGGGACAGGTTGCAATGAAGGAATATTACATAGCAAGATATGGAAGAGGGAGTGAGTGATTGAGAAACTTAAATCTGGGAATTAAACTTCTCAAATGTGAGCAGGAAAATGTTTCCCTAAAGAGAAAATATAACCATTAAGTTTAATTAAAAGACCAGATAAAGATAATACTTCAATAATAAAAGTATAGATAATTTTAAAAACAAAAACAAAATTTTAGCCGGGCAATTGTGGCGCATGCCTTTAATCCCAGCACTCGGGAGGCAGAGGCAGGCAGATCTCTGTGAGTTCGAGACCAGCCTGGTCTACAGAGCTAGTTCCAGGACAGGCTCCAAATCTACAGAGAAACCCTGTCTCGAAAAACAAAACAAAACAAAAAAAACCCAAAAAACAAAAACAAAACAAAATAAAACAAAATTTTATGCTCTGCCTGCAAATAAACAAAAACAAACAAAAAAAACAACCCAGCGACTTGAAAGGATTATAGACACCAAAGGATGATAATGTGTAAGGATAACTTTGATAAAACCTAACACAAAACTTCTTTCTATCCTTGTCTCTATGGATGCAAAAGGGTTCAAGTCTGAGAACAAAATGGAACTAAAACAATTGGCTGGATTTCTCAACGTTTGTGTTTCTCTTAGATTCTAGGGTAAAGAAAAAAAAAGTTCCACACACCTACAACACCCCCCCACACACACACAAGTTGAAATTTCTCCTATGCATTAAACAAACAAATACAAAAATTCACGGAGATAATGGGATTCCCAGTATAAAATTAGCTGGCTGAAATCATGGTGACTTCTGCCTAAATCTATCCCCAGAACTTTATCTGTCTGTCCTTCTGGCAAAACGCAACCAAACAAGAACAAAACCAGAAGCCCATTTTATTCACGAATGTAAAATGCACGCACCAAAGTGTAAGAATGCCAACACACACAACTTGGCAGTTAGGAAATGTCAGTGCACTTGTTAGAAGGTGAAATTTCAGTCCCTTTGATGAAGATACCATCTTTCAGCCAAGCCCTAACAAAACCTTTGGTGCCTGTTAGACCCCCTCCCTCGCTTTTCAGTGACTGGGCTCCATCTGGAGGAGGGGGCTTTTCCTCTCCTCCAGAGCTAAGCGTTCCCAGACCCACCAGCAGCCCTGGGTTTCTGCAGAGCACTCAACGTACAGAGAAGTGTCCCAACTCTGAAAAGGGCAGCTATAAATGGATTTAAAACTGCAACGCCGACCAATCAGCTGTGTCGCACCCGGGCAGACTTTTACAGGGGGGCCTCAAGTACAGCAGAACGTGGCAGAGTCTAGCTCCTCGCTTATGGCTGCAGAATAGGCGTTTTTATTCCACGGTGGTCTGTATCTTTGCAAGAAAAACAATTCTTCACTGGGTGATCATTTTTATTTTGGAGTCGATCCAAGACAATTTTGGGCGTGATGTGTGAAAATCTGAACCTAAGATTTTTTTTTTCCTTTCAGTTTTGTATTATTCAAGGATGAAAAAGAGATACATTTGAGAACATTCTCCACCTTTTAAAAACTGACTGTGGTCATGATGGTGTTCATATAACCCAGAAACAGCCCAGGCTATAAAATTAGAACTTGGCAGAAAGGAATTCTGAAGGAGGTTAAATGAAGGTAGACTGAAGGAAGAGTTAGACGATTGGTACAGTTGTGGGGGAAAGAATCACTAAGGCTCCTATACACTGTGGACGTCCGAAGACGGGTGTACAGCGCCAGTCCCTGCAGTCATTCCCGGAGGAATGAAAAGCCTGATGAAGAAGTTGGCGCGCTCTGTGTTCCTGTGTGCAAGTGTGTGTATTTGTTGCAAATGTGGTTGCTGGGCCGGCCCTCGTGTGCCTGTAAGTGTGCGTAAGCACGTGTTTGTTAGCGTGTGCGTTTACCAGTGGGATGTGTATGTGTGCACGTGCATCTGTGTGCATATGTGCCTGCGATCATACGCGTAGGTGCATGTATCTTTGTGCATGTTGTGTTTGTGCACCGGCCCGCATGCTCTGGGGTGAGGGCACCTTTCAACCGAGCGAGGGTCTGGGGAAGCGCGTTCCGATTCCTTGGCTGCCCTTTCTCGGGGCTAAAATAGAAGGCAGCGGCGGTTGGCCCTGAATGCTTCCGGCCACCTTCCGGCTCCACTTGGTGTAAGCGCAGGTAGTGGTCCTGCGTTCTGAGGTGGCTTTGAGACAGTCTTTTTCTCTCAACTTCCTAGGACCAGGGGTGACCTAGGACGGCAAAGAGGGACTAGACCGGCGGCGAGCCGGGCTGGAGAGCCTAGGCCCTGCTTCTTTAACCCCACCGCCCGGCGGGAGCACGTGAGCCGGGGCTCCGGGTGGCACTTGGGCGCCACCGCCGCCGCCAAGGCAGTTGTGTTTCGAACGCTGCCTCTGGCGGGCGTCCAGGCGCCTCAGCTCGGCGGTCCGCCCGGACTCCCCCCCCCCTTCTTGCTTCTCCTGCAGCCCCCTCCCCTTTATCCACCCACGATTAGAGGTGGGCAGTCCCCACCCCCGCTACCCCCTCCGCAAGCACACACACACACACACACACACACACACACACACACACTCACGCACTCACACGCATCCCCCTAGAATCCTGTTCAGTAACTCAGCAAACTTTCAGCTCCAGCCGCGGCCAGCAGCTTGTTTCTCCACGACACTGCAGTGCTGCTGCCTGGCACCGCCACCCGAGGAGGCGCGGTGCCACCCACTGCTCTGTTTCTTGCTAGAGTTGAGCTGTGCACCCTGCCCGTCCCGGCAGAACCTTCCCATTCTCTCCCTGCTTTCAGACGGGGGAGAGTCAGTCTGTCTCTCTGTCTCTCTGCTTTCTGTCTCCCTCAGTCTCTCTCTCTTTTTCTCTCTCTGGAGAGAGGAGGAGGAATTCTTTCCCCGCCTAACATTGCAAGAGACACAATTCACTACAAGTCTCCCTTTCCAAGCTGCTGCAAGCGTCCCCAGTGCCCGTAACTCCCGATCCTTAGAGGAGAGAGGAGCCCTCTCCACCTTCAACTCTCCCTCTCCCTCGTTTCCCGCCTCCTCTCACTACCTCCACCTCCACCTCCGCCACCCACCGCCCGCAGCGCCTCCTCCTCTTCTCCTCCTCCTCCCCTCTCTCTCTTTTTTGGCAGCCGCTGGACGTCCGGTGTTGATGGTGGCAGCAGCGGCAGCCTAAGCAGCAGCCCTCGGCGCGCGCCAGCTCTGCCAGCTCCGCCAGCTCTCATCGCCCCTGCCTTCTCCAGCCCTCTCCATCCCGTCTCCCGAAAGGTGCTGGGCGGATCCGGGGCGGCGGAGGGCGAGCGGCTGCAGCGGCGGTAGCGGCGGAGGCAGCGGTAGCGGCGGCGGGAGGCAGGATGAGCGCACGCGGTGAAGGCGCCGGGCAGCCGTCCACTTCAGCCCAGGGACAACCTGCCGCCCCGGCGCCACAGAAGCGAGGACGCGGCCGACCCAGGAAGCAGCAGCAAGTCAGTACGCCGGCGCGGAGGGGCCCCTCAGCCCACCCGCGACGCCTCTGCCCCGAGGCCCCGCGACAAGCCGGGTGATCAGAGCGCGGGAGCGCAGCGACCAGGGCGGTGCAAGGTTGCCCACCAGCCCCGGAGTGTAGGTGGGCGGGAGACCGATTTCCCCACCGGCGAGTGCGCAGTGCTTGCTCCCGGGTGCCCGCGCCCCACGGCTGCAGGAGGCGGGGGTCCTCTGGCCCTCGTAGTCACCCGGCGGGAGGTGGGGTCGCGCGAGGCGCGTACCGGGACTTTCGCTATTGTGCGCAGTCCCGGAGTGGCGCGGCGTGGCTAGGGGACAGTGAGTTTCTGGGGTCCCACAAACCAAAAAGCATTGCTTTGTCAGCCGCTTTTGCAACCGTTCAGCGAGAGGGCTTGCCGGGGACTGGGGCGTTCAGGAGGACTGGGACTCGGTGGGTAGGAGGACCCGCGGCTTTCAGCAGATTCTCGGGGCTGCCCGACCGCAGGAGGCTGGCGCGCTGCGGCCGCCCCCTCCGTGCCCTCCCCACACTCCGTGGCCCAAGGCTCGCGCCCACCCGACAAAGAACGTGAGCCGACTGCCTACTTGGGGTCTTTAAATGCTTGCCGAGTTGCAGCCGCGGGAGCAGGCGGGGAAGGGAGCCCGGGAATCTCAGATCCTTGCGCCACCGGGAAACGCGCTTCTCCCAAGGAGCTTTGGAAGGAGAGTCCTAGAGAGTGCACGGTAGCTATGGTTGCTTCCCCGCCTAGAGCCAAATCCTGGCTCCTGGCACCGGCGCTTCAGAGCGGCTGAAGTTTAGTGTCCTCCTGGGTGAATGGCTGGGGGCTGGGAGGGGACGGTTGAGGGGCACCCAGGACCCCGCGGAGTGGAGGGTTTTGTCTGCGGATGCAACCAATTAAGCGTGCAGCCGGCTATTGCAGAGCTGCGCGCAGCGCCCAGTTAAACTCCGCTTCCTGGACTTTTAAACTTCTCTTTTCTTCTTTTACCATAAGTCTTTCCCCTCAGGCAAAAAGAAGGGTTAGAAAATAATCCTAAAGTTACAAATTGCCCCCGGGCGCTAGGTAAGAAATCGAAGAATGATTGCCAAGCGGTTTTAGAAAAAACGAGAGGTGTACCTTTTTGAAATCATCAAAGGAAACAAGCCAATCTAGAGGCCTCCGAGTTTTCCCGCTCTGCCCTTAGCGACACTTTAGTGTGCTTTTGGAGCCTGTTTTACACCTCCAAGAAGTCTCCGCTCTACCCTCCTGCTTCCCACCAGTCACCCAGCTTTAACGAATTCTGCTAATCGCACCTCCCCTCCGCCCCCCATTAAAAAAAAGTCTAAAAGAAAACGCAAGAGGATCCGGGGGTGACTGGGAGCTTTTACCTTTGAGTAAAGGCCGAGCTCACAAAGAAAAATGTGTTTCCGATGTGATTGCTCTAAGTGCCCACTGGCGCGAGTTTCCAAGAAACTTTCCCCCACGCGAACTTCCATTGGGAGCTTACAGGAGTTGTAATTAGTTTTGTTTAAGCACCCAATCTGAATGAAATGAGAGGAGATGATTCACCCCGGAGAGACGTTCAGCGTCCCCGGAGTATCAATCATCACGTTTTTCTAACTGCTTGAGTATTGGCTACTTAGCCTGGCACCCAATAAAGGAAAGCGTTGATATACCTGGGGACCTGGGTGGTTCAGTTGCTCCTTCCCAGATACTTACATTCCTCTCTCGTCCCCCCCTTTTCTTTCCAGCCCACCCTACAAAGACTTCCTTTTTAAAAAATTTGGGAGACAACATGTTTATTTTTGTAAAAAGATATTTAAATTTCGATGGGAGACTATGCCTGTCTCTCCAAAAGGAAGTGGAGAATTGAAGCAATTATGTAGATAATTCAAGCAAAACCTCCCACCTCAGATTTGCCGTAATTATTTGGAAATTTTTAGGAGGTATGGAATTATTCTGATCTGAACAGTTTGGATAATCGCTCCAATATTGCACTCAGAATGTGTGGGCTCAGTCCTAAACCACAAGAAACACAGGTCTATAGAAGTGATTACACGCCATCCTTTCCATCGGATAGGATGGACATCTATCTTTCCAGCTAGCTATGATGCTGGGCTCTATTTCTGTTGTTTGAAATCCCGGTAGAATGGGTAGTGGTAGTCCTATAAAATGTTTATTATTTCTGTGAGTTGCCAAGTGCACGACCATGTAAACTTTGTACCTTAAAAACATGTGACTTTCCAGAACATACAACTTTTTCGGGCTTTGCTATCATTTTGATTATGAAATATTGACCAGTTTTTTTCACATGTAAATCAGTTTCCTCTTTGAACACTGGGATTCGAACTATGGTTATACCGCCACCACCCCCACCCCCTTTTGCAACGCTATGCCACCATCATCCAACTATGCATGAACTGAATGACTTCCAGCAGGCTGGTTAAGCCGCACATGCAGAAAACAGAGTCAGAGCCAGGGTCAGTCTCTTTCAGCCGGTCTTGGTCTTAGCCACAACTTTTCTTTCCTCCCTGCCCTTAGGAGCCGACCTGTGAGCCCTCTCCTAAAAGACCCAGGGGAAGACCCAAAGGCAGCAAAAACAAGAGTCCTTCTAAAGCAGCGCAGAAGGTGAGAAATTCGAGCTGAAGCTTTTCCAGTGTTGCCGATGACCTCCCTGTAATTTTCCCAATCTAAATCCACACACCAGGATTGGTTCTGGCTGAGCAACCCAGGACGTTATTTCTAGATTTGCTAGATTGGGTCTTAACCCCTTTTCTTTTCTTTTCTTTTCTTTTCTTTTCTTTTCTTTTCTTTTCTCTTCTTTTCTTTCCTTCCTTTCTTTCTTTCTCCATGTTGATGCTTATTTTAAAAGTTTCCTGGAGATACAATGATTTTAGGCAAACAAAAAGAGGCATCAAATCATACATTGCAAGGGCTGGGAAGCACAGAATGGTAGGGGTGGAGTGGGGGGAAGGGGCTGGGTAGGTTGGGGTGGAAATGATACCGTTAATATTTACACCGATGGCAACCGAGTTCATAATAAATCAAAGCTAGAATTTTGACTGGTGATGATGTTCCTGTAATTTCCTAAGGAAAAAAAATAGAACTGAGATTAATTTATTCGGGGCTTATTTACATGATAACTGGAAACCAAGTCTCCCTATTAAAGCTAAGTACTTTGCCAAATAGATGTTAATTAAAGAGAAAATCCAATTATGGGTTACTGGAAAAAGAGTTTCATGAATTTTACAGCTTAAAATGTGATCAAATATACTATTTGGGACAAACATGCAAGATAATATTGTCAAGAAAGTTTCTCCCAAAGTGTGATTCTCTCAGACCACAAGAGGTTTAAAAACCAATATTTGCCTTATTTAATATTTTAGGGTGTGTGATAGAACACAATTAAGGTTGACATTTGTTTTTGTCTTTTTTTTAAACAGATTTTAAGTTGAACCTTTAAAATAATTTCATGTTGGTTGTGTGTGCTACCAAAGAGGAAGTGCCCACAGTAAGGCCTGTGTGGGGGAGTGATGGAGACTGTCTGTCACTCTTGGGTTTGAACTGGAAAGAGTTTGCATCTTATTTGTGAGTGTGTGCTGTAGTTGAAACTAATGATGCAAAAATCAGAAATAAATCCCCACATATATATTTTCAATAGATTCAAATATACAGCATTTGTTTAAGGTGACTCTGCTCGTCTTTGGGGAATTGATACTCTGTGTGTGCATACAACCACAATGTGTGTTGTATGTGATGGTTCTCAGTGGTGCACCCTGTCATAGCAACCAGTGATGTATAGAAGCCACTGAGGAAGAAATTATGACTTCTGGTTGTTTAACACTTTTGAAGAGAGTTGAAAGAGCAGGCTTCTCTAATACTTGAATTAACTGTGTTTTAAAGTTCAGATTTGTAGTCAGTATTTAACCAATTAACCCTCAGGTGTCTCTAAATAACCTTGCTATTTAAGTAGTGATGCACACTCAGGGGGAAGAGTGCCTTCTCTGCCTTCTATTCATAAATGAACTAAAACAGGCTTCAAAACAAACAAAACCAAGTGATTCTGTGTTGTGTTTCTGTGGTGCTTCTGCTTTCAGGGGCAGCCCAGGAGTGTCTTGGTGGGCATCAGCAGATACTTAAAATATGGTGTAATCACTCCTAAGATGCCTCATCATAATGTCACTCAAGAAGTCTTTGAAGTGCACCATGAACGAATGCTCTGCAGATAATTCTAGAAAGGAAGGCGGGCTATCATCTTCATGTCCCACTGTGTGCCACTTTCACTCAAGTGAAGAGGTGGAAATGGTCCCATCATGCTCTCCCCACTCTGCAAAGTTTATTTTGGACTAAGAGTATCTGTATGGACAAACGGAAAGTTAAGACTTGTGCCTGATTTAATGCGTAGAACAGAACAACAACAGAAAGCTTATCCATTTCCAGGCATGTTTGGTTATTCAGTGGCTTTAGTCATAACATCTGCTGCAGATGGATCACTAGGCTGTCCTCTTTCTGTAATTCTCCTTGTGTAACACATACTTGTATAATCACTAAAATACAAATAGCCCCCCTCCCAAGAAGACATTTTTCCGAGCTCTTTTATTTTTCAAGGTATAATTATTTCCTATAATTCTATTACAAATGTTCCTCTTTTAATAAAAGTGAATAACTGCATTATTTTAGAACACAACTATTACTTTTCTTCAATTTTATAAATTATACTTCATTTAAGTGAGGGCATTGATAAGTCGTTCCTGGGATGGATAAAAGTGAAAGGGTTTCACTTTTAAATCAGTTTTTATGGAGGGTGTTCCTATGCCTCTACACAAATGGTTAGGTTGTTAACTGTGTATTTTATTGTATTCTAACAAGACTTATGCTCATTATGATTTTAAACTGAAAACCTTTTTAGAAAGAGTTATGCAGTTCAAAACATGCTAGATGAAAATACCCTATTAGACTGAGCTGAACACATGTGAAAGCCTTCAATGTAATTAATTAAGTGAATATTTTTTCTGCACTCTGGGAATCAATCTCTCTCTCTCTCTCTCTCTCTCTCTCTCTCTCTCTCTCCCTCCCTCCCTCCCTCCCTCCCTCCCTCCCTCCCTCCCTCCCCCCCCCCCCCTCTCTCTCTCACACACACACACACACACACACACACACACACACACACACACACACACACACCTGGCAAGTACTTGAGGAGATGCGATGCCCTGCCCACTAGAGTCCTCATAATGCTGTTTAAATTTTTCTTGCTGCTTTGAACTTTTCTTTTAAGTTTATGCTTGGGCTGAGCAACTGGCCTTGGGGCACTTGAAAACAAACTTCTCATTAGGAATTAGCAGTGAGAAACTTGCCAGTACTGCAGAGTGTTGCAAGACCAGGTGGATGAGCGACTACTAATATAACTATCCTTTCAATTTCAGTAGGAAATTGATTTGTGTAATGTGTACAAGAAACGAATCTATAAAGGAGCAATGTTTAGAATTTATGGGAGAGAAGATAATTATTCTTCCATCAGAACTAATTTCATGGATAACCCTTGTGTGTCCATAATAGTCTTTCCTGGGAACTCTTCCAGTCTGAGTGCAGCCTTAATAAAAAGAAATCAGAAGTTGCCACCTTCTAGAGTAAGTGATTTATCTGAGTATGCAAGTGTGTGCCTTTACCTTCACATTCTTTTGTTTCTAGGTCAAGGTACACCTCTGATTGGCTACCTTCTGATCTTTGTGCTGTGCTTTGGTTTCCTCTACTGGCTGGGCTTCCTGGAGATGCTCTGTATTTTCCCATTTAGCTTGCTTGGGGACAGGAAGGCATCATCTCCCTATGTTTAGGGTTTTGTTGATTCTTTTTAATCAGGAGAGAAAACTGGAGGGGCTGGCGGCACTAAAGTCCTCTGCTTCAGGTCACAAGCAGATAGATCTTCAAGCTTCAAAGTGGGTCTCGTTCAGGGACTTGTAGGGGTGAGTGTGTTTCTGAGGTTGGGTTAAATTTTAATAGGAAGATTTCAAGCAGGAAGTACCCCCATTTCATAATGTTAGAATTTTGCTTAGCCCCTGCCTTTCGCTGGAGGTATAATGGCCAGACTAGGGGACAGAGCATAGAATGACAGTTGTAGCTGGGTAAAGTATGAACGCTTTGAATAATGCATTCAGAATAAACATGCCTTTTCATCTTCATATACACTGTAAATAAGCCCTGAGGTTACCTGGGTACTCTGTAGACCAGGTCATTTTCCACATCATTGGCATTCCTGGAACTGATTAGGGTTTTTTCCTCATAAAATTTTACTAATATTAATCACAGACATTTTAGGAATAAAGAAGAGAGGTGGGTCTTAATGACCATTTCATAGTAACTGCAGTCTGGTTGCTGTGTGAGGACAGGATTTTCTTTTGAGCCTGGCACCTTTCCTTGACTCTGTCAAAGATGACTTGGGGGTGATCATAAAGTTCCAGCCTGTAGTTTCTACAATGCTAATATGATTTAATTAGCACCCCTCTGTGTGCTAATGGGCGGGAAGCTCTTGTGTGAGATTCAGGGCTCTAGAGAGTACCCTAAGACTGGTGCCATGGAGGAAAAGTGCAGGGCTCTAGAGAGTACCCCTAAGACTGTGTCATGGAGGAAGGGTGCAACTACTGCCTCCACTTTCTTGGTATTAGAAGTTGGTGTTTTTTGAACTTCACATTACCTGGGATGGAAAAGCCTGACTGCAGCTGTTAATACCATATGACAGTGTCTGTCATCAAGTCAACCGAGGTTATGATGCAAAGAGGGGAGATTCAGATCCATCAGGATTTTTTGTTTGTTTGTTTGTTTGTTTTTCAAGTCGGGGTTTCTTTGTAGCATTTGGAGCCTGTCCTGGAACTAGCTCTTGTAGACCAGGCTGGCCTCAAACTCACAGAGATCCGCCTGCCTCTGCCTCCCGAGTGCTGGGATTAAAGGCATGTGCCCCCCACCCCCGAAAACTACCAGCCCTCTGAACTCTTGACTCTTTCCTCCTAAGTTCCCCTTATTTTAGTTGACCTATATCCTTGGCTCATTCCTATCGCAGGGTCTTAACAGATGTGAATGTTCCTGCCTGGGATCCTATTTCATTTCAATTCTTTGTGGAGAGTAGGAGGTTGAGGAAGAGCATTTATGCTGGTTAAGTCATTCCAACCTGTCTTGTCTTGTGAGTTGACTTTTATTTATTTATTTCTTTTACAGTTTCCAGAGTTCCCCCTGAGAACCACACAACTTACACGAGGGTGGAAACTAAAATTCAGAACCCCTAACATTAAGTCTCTCAGCTGAGCATCTGTGCTCAGCTAACCACTAGAGAAAGGGGAACAGAGAGGCAGCGATATTTTTAAACTGGTTTATATTTATTTTTATGGCTCTAACACACAGAACAACTTTGAATGGCATATTCTATTATTTCTTTGTTTATCTTTAGTCCTGGAAATGAAGTCCAGAACTCTGCACATCCTAGGACAGTGTCTTACTACTGAGCCACACTCCCAGCCTTTGCTGTGAACCTCTATACTATATTACTGCTATTTTATTTGATTGCAAAAGAGGTAGGGAAACAATTTAGAGTAGGAACGTCTCCAACCCTGAACACAAGAACTCTTCCAAAATGTTGT